TATTTTAATTTGTTTTACTTAAATTACTGGCGCTTATTTATTTTAAGTCAGTGATTGATCACTTTCTTTCTATGAAATAATAATAATAATATCATTTCATATCATTCCATTCGTTTTATTATACATACCGATCATTTTCTCTCGAATTTTATTTTATTTTCTTATCTATTTTTTATGTACTTTATTTTACTATATTTTACTTAATTTTTTTTTTAATTTCATGCAGTGTATGATTTTTCATTATATAAAATTTCGTCTTGCTGCATTCACACAACTTGCACTTACTCATTCTCCCTGCAACTGCATAAAAAGCACATTGACCGATTTGTACATTTACGGTATTTAATACCGAGAAAGGCCAGCCATAAGCGTCTCACTTAGAATTTAATTAAAGTTGCTTATTTACATACGAGTAGATAGTAGCTTGCAATGGCATGGAAATTTGCATATCGCCACCATCTACAAAAGAGGCATAACTCAGAAATCAGATCCGAAAATGTAAATAACTGCTTGTGGATCCTACAGATTTAACACAATTCATACGAAAACAGATATAACAGTAGTTTTCTAGTTAGGGAATATAATCATGAAGATAAAAATATTAGCATTAATTGGAGATAAATCCTGCGAATTGATGTATGCAAAAAACCGGACTACATTTTTTTAGTTTTGAAGAACGTGTGCGACATGTATGTGTGTGGGTATTTTTATTTGCACTCAATTTGACATTTAATTTGTTGCAAAGTATATACAATAAAAAATGTGCATACCCGTAATTAAAATAATAATGAAACAGCCCTCAATATTGTTGATTGCTTTAGTTTAAATATTAGCCCTTATAGCACATTGCACTTCACTCAAACAAAATCACATTTTCCCCTTGATTTTGGAAGCTGTGTTTCCATTCAGACATGTTTTTTCCTACAAAAATTCCTTTCAAAAGTCTTCAAAACCTACCAAACATAACGTGCCGGGCCTTGTAATCAAGTTGACCAGCCAACGGTTTGCCATTTAGAATTCATCGATTTTTGATTTCTATCGTTCTTTTTTTTCATTTTATGGTTTTGCTCCAATCCATTACATACATATGTTACCATTACATATACATATGTCCATTACCAAATATGACAGTGCAGCCTACAGTTTCGTATCCTGTTAGAATTCGAAAAAAGCCTTGAGATAAAAAACACCGAAACACTTAGCCAATTTTATAGGTCCAGTCAGCCTCTGGAGAAGGATAAAGCTGATATATTTTGTAATATCCGTTGCGTTACCACTAAAAAGAAAAAGAATATCCTGGAACGGCACAACCGATAATCAAATAAGGCTAGAAAAGCGCTGGGTGCTAGCAGCTGACGTCCACTCTAGAGCCCTCTGGAGTAATTATCAAGAACGACCCGAGATGCTTAAAGCTGAGCATCACAATGGCAGGGCAGCTTAGAAGACGTACCGCATGAATTCCCCTTGGGCAGTGTTCAGTCAAAACCCCCACCAAAACCTAAAGTTGTCGCTTAGTAAGCTGGAGAAGTTGCCTAGACGGCCCACGATCAACTACCGGAAAAAAGGACTTTTATTTTCGACGTCTCCTGCCAGCGTTCGCTGAGCCTACTAAGAGCCCATTTGTCCAGAAGCAGTCAGCAAGTTGCCATAGGTAACCAAACGACCTCTCTTTCCTTGGTGATGGCTTCTAAGGTGTCCAGCCTGGCCAGTTCATCGGCAGTTTCCTGCAATATCGGTGTGTTTCGCAATCCAAATCAGTCCGTTGTGGAAGTAATCCTAGTGAATAGTTCAGTCCCAGACTAGTTTTGATCTTATCATCAACGAACCCAAGGCTCTGCCACAGTATATATTTATCTCTGTAGCTTTTTTAAAGGCAGCTACGTTACATAAATCGTTCATCATCGGGTTAACTTCTCTCTTCGGAAATATGCCTCGATATTTCCATCCGAGGCATTTGCAGTTTTCAATACCATAGACTACGTGGTGGAAAATACGTGTTGATTCAGGAGTTTCCGTACCTGCGCGACAACCAAGCTACACTCAAGGCAATTCAACTACTTCCAGACTGGCTCGGATATGCAAGCCTCGTCTAAATTATGCTGGAAGATATAAACTGCTTGTTTTCCTCTGGCTACGAAGTCACTCGGCAGTACCTAGTAATAGACATCGGACTATTTGGCAAGAGAGGACTTGGACGAGGTATTCCTCAGTTCGCAGCCAGTTATATCGCTCCCACCTTCAGTCATAGTGCATCTTTCGCGCAGCAATGACTAGGAGGCTTCGAGAGGCTGCAAGCGGGCAAAACTTAATTCTTGATACTTCTCGTAGCAAAAGCACCTGACTGGTAATCGGCATACATAGATTTAATCCCCATTTTCCCTACCTGTCTTGAAAAGTATGAGACGACAGAAAACTTTATGTGTCTCTGTCCACCCATTGAAAGGTTTAGATATGCGGTAGACGATCAACTGAGCTCCTTGATGCCCAAAAATTTTGCTTCGATTTATTCGTAAATCATATAAACTTAGAACAGACTAAAGAAATGTGAGAACAGTACAATGGGCGGTATATAACAGGTATGCTGTTTCAGAAGGCTTATTCCGTTGTAATTGACGCATATGGCAAGATCACCGTTCCAGTGAATTGGGCAGAGCACACTTGCAGAAATTCCAGTAGTCATGCATCCGTTCAACCGACCATATTCTGCATAGGTATTTGAATATCTCAGCTGGCAGCATTGCATTTTTTTAAGTGGTGTAATTGCTATTCGAACCTCGTCATAGTCGAGAGGTAGGATCCCGGCTCCGTCATCTTTTGGATTTGGGATTCATCGTCGGTGCTAATTTAAGTGCAGTTACCCTTCAACAGGATGAAAACGTGCTCCCTCCATACTTTGTATATAGTATATCGATGGCTGAGTGGAAGATCGACCTATCTCGGCAGCCAGTTCGAAAACATTCTACCTCAAAAATCTTTTCAAGAACGCCTTATTTCAGAATTCGTTTCAAAAACGCCCTATCTCAGCTGCCGATTCAAAAACGCCCTATATCAGCATATTTTCAATACATTTTGAAGTGAAAAGGATGAGACGACAGAAAACTTTATGTGTCTCTGTCCACCCATTGAAAGGTTTAGATATGCGGTAGACGATCAACTGAGCTCCTTGATGCCCAAAAATTTTGCTTCGATTTATTCGTAAATCATATAAACTTAGAACAGACTAAAGAAATGTGAGAACAGTACAATGGGCGGTATATAACAGGTATGCTGTTTCAGAAGGCTTATTCCGTTGTAATTGACGCATATGGCAAGATCACCGTTCCAGTGAATTGGGCAGAGCACACATACAGAAATTCGAGTAGTAATGCATGCGTTCAACCGACCATATTCTGCATAGGTATTTGAATATCTCAGCTGGCAGCATTGCATTTTTTAAGTGGTGTAATTGCTATTCGAACCTCGTCATAGTCGAGAGGTAGGATCCCGGCTCCGTCATCTTTTGGATTTGGGATTCATCGTCGGTGCTAATTTCAGTGCAGTTACCCTTCAACAGGATGAAAACGTGCTCCCTCCATACTTTGTATATAGTATATCGATGGCTGAGTGGAAGATCGACCTATCTCGGCAGCCAGTTCGAAAACATTCTACCTCAAAAATCTTTTCAAGAACGCCTTATTTCAGAATTCGTTTCAAAAACGCCCTATCTCAGCTGCCGATTCAAAAACGCCCTATATCAGCATATTTTCAATACATTTTGAAGTGAAAAGGATGAGACGACAGAAAACTTTATGTGTCTCTGTCCACCCATTGAAAGGTTTAGATATGCGGTAGACGATCAACTGAGCTCCTTGATGCCCAAAAATTTTGCTTCGATTTATTCGTAAATCATATAAACTTAGAACAGACTAAAGAAATGTGAGAACAGTACAATGGGCGGTATATAACAGGTATGCTGTTTCAGAAGGCTTATTCCGTTGTAATTGACGCATATGGCAAGATCACCGTTCCAGTGAATTGGGCAGAGCACACATACAGAAATTCGAGTAGTAATGCATGCGTTCAACCGACCATATTCTGCATAGGTATTTGAATATCTCAGCTGGCAGCATTGCATTTTTTAAGTGGTGTAATTGCTATTCGAACCTCGTCATAGTCGAGAGGTAGGATCCCGGCTCCGTCATCTTTTGGATTTGGGATTCATCGTCGGTGCTAATTTCAGTGCAGTTACCCTTCAACAGGATGAAAACGTGCGCCCTCCATACTTTGTATATAGTATACGCTCTGGACGGAAGAGCTGACTTAATGCATCAAAACCTCACAGGGGTGTAGGGATATGTAAGAATAACATTTGTGGACAATTATACACCACAGCATTATCTGCGGATTCTGAGTTCATTTTTATGGTGTCAAGTTAACCGAAAAACATTAATATACTTGAGGTCCTCTCAAGTCGTTAAAATAGACCGGGTGCAATAAGCAGGTGAAGTAATATAGCTGACTTCTCCTCTTATTTTCTGCCATTTGGCTGTCTTACACAATTCAATGTAAAGTCCTTCTTCTCTTCCTTATTGTTTCCCCATTTTTAATTCCACTATACATTCAAAATCGAGTTACAAAAATTACTAAAATTTCTAACTAACTAATGTCTACTACAACTCATAACAATTGCACTCCATCTGGTATCGCTCCAACCGGTGGTCTATTAAAGGCTTAATGCCGGTCTATGTCACCTTCACCCCATTATAGACAATGTAATGTTGGACTTGCGCCACAAAAACTTAATTCAATTAACCCTTCAATATATTATTAAGCGTTTTCAAAATTAAATATGGATTTCCTCACAATTTATTGTTTTCCTTTTTGAATAATCGCATATACATACATATTTATTTTACAAATATCACGTTTATATTTTGCATTAATAACTAGCATTTAAACAATTTATTCCCGTACTTACGTTTATTCGTAATGTATGACTATTTTATAAATACTTATAGGTTTTTTATTGCAAAGTCAATTTTACGTGTAGTATGTAAATGTATTTGCAAGCATATGTATCGGCACATGACTAACTAAGACTATTGGCTCTATGCACTTATATCTAATTTATCACAGAATTTTATTATTGAATTATTCACATTTTTCCCCCAGAAATCAATCGATAAAACGTGACGTCTCGCGACCGTTAATCGAAGTTCAAAATCAAAGTCACAATTGAAAATCTTTACGGCTGTTGACGCGTGTCATAAAATAAGGGTGTTCCGCTGTCGGGCAGTGGAAATTCTCCAACAGTCTTGGTTCCGTCATAATGCTTTTATTGTCGTCGTCTTCCAACATATTATTCCACAGATAATTGGCACCTGTTTAAAATGTAATTATGGTATTAAAATAAATTGAATAAATGCACAGCGTGCCCGTGAAATTACTGAATGACTTACTAATAGCATGTCCACGCTGACTAAGATGGAAACAGTCCTCTGAAAGAAACTTGAATTTGCCCGCGTCATCGCTGGACGGGAAGAAGTCATCAAATAAAGTAAATGGTTGTATGCTGATGGTGAATGTCTGCGAATCAGAAAGTGATTAAACGATTTTTTTTTTTTGCCTAATAAATATCCAATATGGTAAATATCTTCTTTTTTTTTTGCTTTACTCACCTCCGAATTGAACTCAGCTCTATTCACTATCTCCCTATCCTTAGCAGCCCACTTTTTCATTAATTGTTTCATCCTCGCTACTTGCTGCTTGGGCTTCCCCACCAAACAGGGGCATTCAAATGTTAGAGTAGTATGACACACTGGCGTCTTACTGCTAAGGCCCACCAAAAAGTCCAGCCTTGGTGCTGGTACTACATTCAGCATAAGGCGTGGTACATTGTCACGCAAATAACGATAAGTTTTCACCATATTCTCCTCATGCCTTTTAATTGCATCCTCAGGTCGTGGTAGAAAGCAAACATCAGAGCAAAAATCATTATTACCAACGAGTAGTGTGATGAGCTTCCAATCGGCAGTCATGTTCACTTTGGGGTCACGTGACATACGTTTGACAATCACCTGCGCTTCGTACGGTATGTCGCGCGACATAGCACCCAGCTCGGCGACATTGAATCTGAGTAATTTATGTGAAACGAAAAATTATTAGAGCGATTCACGATTTGTAGCATTTTAAGAGTAAAGTATTATATTATGTACGTAGGTATAGATTTTAGTTTGCAAACAATTTATTTTCAATAAGAGCCACAGAAA